AAAATTTTTGTTGTACGTAGGAATATATAATTGATTTTTTATATATACTTACCCTCATAATCTCAAATTTAATCAAACGCTTATCGGAAATAACAAAACACCAGCTCCTTCTCTATTTTATTTTGCAAAATAATTACCATTCTTCTTGAGTAGGACATCGGCTCTGGGGTTCTAAACCCTAATGGCTCGTCGAATGGTATTGTTTTGCCCCATCTGTTAGTAAATATTAAGAACATTTTTTCTGCTTCTATAAATACCAGTAAAAAGAATATCATACCATAGTCGCTATAATAAAAAACATAGCCTGGAGAAGGAACCAAGCTCAACTTTGCCAGTAGCCTATAATATGCCCACACCATCGTCTATAAATAATGTTCTTTTTGACCCGAACCGGGTATATACTTTTAACTTATTATATACTGCTAGTGTTTAGTCTTTGTGTTAATAGAACAATTATCTAAGTTATTTGTACGTGTATACTTAGTCATGCAAAAAATTGTTGAAATAGCAACTAGGGCCTCTGACTAACGTATGTTGTGAGACTCAATGGGCTCATAATCACCATTAGGTGGCTTAGTACTTAGATAAGAGTGTTTTGTTCAGTCCGTAAAAATAACCTATACACTGCTTATTTTTTTATTCATTTCTTCATAATCTAACAATCTTTTGGTAACATTATTAGCATTGCACCCAGCAAGCAACCCGTGGACTATGCATCAAGGATAAAATATATTATATTGAAAAGGAGTGGATGAATGTCCCCCTCTGTTCTTCTGACTGCGTATCGACCAAAAATATCAAGGCCCTGCATGAAATCTCCACGATAGACCTGTTGCTTGAGACCCTTATTCATGAAGCAAAAATAAATAATAATAATAATGTCTCTAAGTCATTTGAAATACCCACCGACTTTCTTGTAATAGTAAATAAAGATATTATTAATCTTAATAATTTGTATAATAAAGATACTTGCGAGTCTAACCTTTCTAAATCAGAAAAGCATGTGTGGATTGTATTAGGAAAATGGCTTGGGTTTGAGAGAAAAATTAAAAGAAGAGAAGTAAGGCAACATCTCTAATTGAGGTGGCAAAAACTAAAGCATGCTTTGCATCTTCGTAGTAATGAGGAATCGTCCATACTAACAACCCCATGTATTACAAAAAAAGAAAAAAATCATATGCTTATGTTGGTACATAATTTAAAAACCATTAAAAGATTAGTTGGGTTTTGTTATATAATAAATCCAGAGTGTGTTGTAGATAAAAATGACCAGACTTTGCTCTACCTAAATTTAATTGAGAATTTAGATACTATAAATAAAGCTACTGAGGCTATTGATTATTATTATTTTCATACATTAGCTCATCCATCTCATCGAAGTGAAAGTTTTTGGAAAAATTTTATTGAACATTTTGGTGTGTTTACGTTGAATAACCTCCTCCTCTATGTAAGTTCGAATACTGCGAGTAGCCACAATATAGAGCATTTGAAATATGTTAATAAATTACTGAGTGGCCTTGTCCCTTTGTCAAACTGTATTAATCAATTTTTTCAAAAATATTATGGAAACCTGTATGAAAAATTAAGTATGTTAAGATGGGGTCCATTTGCACCTAGACCATTCGGGGTTTCCCCGATGATAGCCATTAATTATAATACCATAAGTGACTATCATTGGGATGAAAATGATGAGCCAAATAGTCTTTGTTGTCTCGTTGCTCTTGGTGATTTTGACGGAGGTGAACTCTGCTTTCCCTAGTTAAAAATAATTGTTCCACTTCATCCCGGGCAAGTTATAGTGTTTTCTTCGTGCCTTCTTCTCCATGGTAATTTCTCTATCATGAAGAGAATTTGTCACAGTGTCGTGTATTTTGTGCATAGCTCCTTCTTTCATCATTTGCGGGACTTCTCTTCTATATATGATGACCTTAAAACCAGTGTAGAGAGAGATACAAAAGGTAATGTTGTTTCTGGACCAATGCGGCGTCAAAATCTTGAAGATGCTTGCAAGTTGAACTGCCAGATACATCTTTTTAAACTGAAGGCAGAGCAGATACAAATCCCTCCACAATCTTCAGATTGTAGAAGAGGATATATTGGTAAGAAAATACATATATAATATTAGATCTTAAATGTAAATAAAAATTAATTATGATGATTATTTCTAGATTTGTCGCATGCCAGACGTGAATTAAGAGCGGAAGACCAATTACCTAATTCATAATAAAAGCGTATATGTTATATATTTACGAGTATATATATTTTTTATAGAAAAAAATTAATAAAGTTTTTACCCATATTGGGTCTGTTTTTAACCTGTATATATAGAGTATCTAATATGAGTTATTTCGAATGCACAAAAAATGAATCCTGATATTCTATAGTATATCATACCAAATCTAATAGGTCTAAATCTCTAAATATAGTATAAATTACATAATCTCTAAAAACACTATAATACGTTAAATTACTTAATCATTAAATATGGTCTATACAGATAATTGTCCAGTTTTAAATGATATCGAGTGGAGGGATAACTGCCAATTTCCAGTAATTCGTGATGGGGAAACACCATCTAATTGGAAGAACCGAATCTGGAATCAATTAGTGAATTATAGAAATAACAATAAATTGACTGATTACAATAAGCGATATCTTATTGCCAGAAAGATGGAATCTACAGAAGGATTCAGTTATCGTATGGCTATTAAAGTGAATATTGCTATATGTTATAGCTGTGATCAGTTTGTTTATGTTGATAAAAGAGTAGGATATGAATTATATTACAATTATAAGATGAAGGAACATTGGTATACAAATTGTACTGAAAATAGACATTGTGATATATGTTTCAAAGAGTATATGGAGCTTAAACAAAAACCAGAAGTTAAAGGCGATATTTACACAAGGTTAGCTATTTATCGATATGGATTACGAATAAAGAATCTTATCAATAGAGTTAAACATATTCGAGAAACAGCAAAAAAGATCTAAGCATGTATAACTATACAGAGAAAATGGCTAGAGTATTTCTACAGACCCAAAGGTATGTGTGCAACAGAACTTGCTCAACATTATAAACTCTTATAGGGAATTCGAGAGGAAATGCACCAAATTAACAATGTATAGACCATGTCCGCAAAGCAATTCATATATTTATTTATTTGATTTAATCTATTTATTCGATTTATTAATTATTTTTTTTTTTTTTCGGTATTAAGGTGACCTCCTTGGCCTGGGGACTTTTTATTAGTAATTATTAGTTATTACAGTT